TACGATTTTAGCATTTCATTTATTTGAGCTGATTTCTATTTTATTGTATGGGTTGTGCAGGTATATACAAGTGGGATGGTTGCTATTTTATGCTGCATTTGTCTGTTATGTTGTACAACTCTCTATTACTGTTTAATACAGTGTTTGTATGATGAGGTCCAAAACACACATCACTTTTTCAGCAGGCCCACTTTTCGTACAACTGTGGGTGTCTTCTGTCAGCACTGTGTCACCTCTGTAGAAGATCTTCCTGCCTCTGAAGTGGAACTCCTCCCCGGCGCTGTGCCACTTCTGCAGGGCAGGTGAGAGCTGAGGCGGCGGGATGTGCAGGTAGACGGCCACCAGCGGGATGCAGATCAGACCCACATGGATCCACCACTCTCTCATGTTGAGCTCAGCGGTGGGGGAGTCGCATTCCTGCCTCTGAGGGACAAACACGGGACGAGAAGATACACAATGCAGGGACCCACGTGAATAACACCGAAGCAATGGCTAAGTTAACGGTTGAATTGTAAGTTAGCTAAAAATGCTCCACAACTCGCGAGCTCTAGCCGTCCTCCATACTGGTCCTGGGTTGTGTTCTCTTTACAGGACTCACACTGTAGTTACTGTGTACTTACAGAAAAACGTTGGGAGCTGTCACTAGTAGACCTTCGCCCTGTGTTTGGGATCCATTACTGCGGAGGAAATTCCTGTAGAGCGGAAAGCAGCGACGGTTTGCGGAGACGAGGCAAAAGTGAAGACGTCTCACTCCGCCGCTACTTCCGGGTTCGTAGAATCTAAACATGGCGGCGTGTTGGTTGTAGTTGTTGTTAAGGAAGCGCGAGTAACTCATCTCTTTACTAGACGATCTCAGAGGAGCTGACGGAAGACGGCAGGACCACAGGTGTCCTGCCACCTGCCGGTCTGGAAGTGCGGCAGCATTTTATCCAAAATAATGCAGCATCACAGTCAGTATGCCATTTTTAGGGTCCGAGCACCCAAAAGGGTGCGAAGACCCTATTGGAACTGCTCGGATTATTA